CTCCATCACCGCCTGGCCCTGGTGCCAAGGCAGCATCTTCCAGCCTCAGGGCCTGAGTGGAGGCCCCCCATCTCCTCCTGGCCCTGCCCATGCCCGTGCCCCTGCCCCCCGGGCCATTTGCACACCCGTTTCCCAGAGTGCTTTGCAGGCTGGGAGCTGCAGGTGCAGCCCCCTCTTGGGTGGGCTCATTTTTGGGGTACAGTTTTCCCAGGGTGCTTTGTGGGTCTAAAGATCTGACAGCTCCTACCCCTCGCGTGTGTGTGTGTGTGTGTGTGTGTGCGCGCATGCCCATGCGTGTGTATGCTTGTCACCATGCACCGGTGTATGTGCATGTCCGTGTGTGTGCACATGTATCTGTGCCTATGTGTGTGTGTGTCCATGCATGTGTATGTAGGTGTGCACGTGCGTGCGTGTCCATGCATGTGCACGCCCCCCAGGCCTGTTTGAGCCGGTCGACATGAAGTATGAGTTGAACCGCAACAAGGTACTGGACCCGTCCCTCGCCGAGATGACGGAGGCGGCCATCAGGATCCTGAGCAGGAACCCCAAGGGCTTCTACCTCTTCGTGGAAGATAAGTCGGGCCGTGGCGGGAGAGCTGGGCCCAGCCCAGGCTGCCGTGGGCCCCGGTCTGACCCCGCCGCAGCTGGAGCCGGCCCATTCCCGGGGAGCGGGGAGACTTCCCTGCCCGGGGGTGCAGGGATGCCCCCAGCTGCGGGTCGGCTCTTCCCCCATCTTGGGGACGAGCAGCTGCAGTGGCCCCGAGTCCTGGCAGCCTGGTAGTGGGCAGAGCAGCACCACGCCAAGGGCAAGCCCCATCCCGTGGTCTCTGGCCACTTTGGCAGGGCACGGGGAGCTGCGGCTCAGGGGGAGTCACCCCAAGGAGCGGGGGTACCCTGAGGGCGAGGTGGAGGGGAGCAGCCCCGGCACTGTCCGCTGGTCTCTCTGTGCCCTGCTTGTGGCCGTGGGGCGCCCTGCTCACCTCCACCCCTTCCCCGCATCCCCTCACGAGGCAGAATTGACCACGGGCACCACGAAGGCGTCGCCAAGGCGGCGCTGACGGAGGCCGTGGAGTTTGACAAGGCCATCCAGCGGGCCGGCGAGCTGACAGACGAGGCCGAGACCCTGACCGTGGTCACAGCCGACCACTCGCACGTCTTCAGCTTCGGCGGCTACACGCTGCGCGGCTCCTCCATCTTCGGTACCGTGCGGGACGCGCCCCGGTGGCACGGCCACGCGAGAGGCGGTGCCCTGCCCAGTGCCTGGCTCCTGAGGGAGCTTGGAGTCCGGGCCTCCCGCTGCAGGGCTTGGAGACACACGGCGGGGCCTGGGTTCGGATCCTGCCACCAGCCTTGCTGGCAGCGTGCCCTATGCC